TATATCTTCAACTAACACTATACTGGGTTGTTGCAAAAGTCATGACATTTTTTTCTGAGTTTTTCAGGCAAAAATGCATCATGACTCTTCCGACCAGCCAGTGGTATAATGCTCTTTTATTCTAAGTATCGTTTACATTTGCCCATTTAACTGACTTTATAACAATCTTTAATAATTTGTCACTTGACTGCTTTCTATTGTCATTAATAAAATACTATTTCTCCTCTTCCTTTCCGGTTTTTACACTTTGTTTTATGACTTATTGTTGTATCCAGAATTTTCTAAGCAAAATTAAATAATACCGACAATATATGGCCCGGTAGTTTCTGTTAAGTGCTGGTTTATTTGGAATAAACATCTTTATAAAAAATATGACGCTGATAACGTGTATCTTTGTGTTTGGCTCTTGCGAGGAAGGCCCGCGGCCGCGAGACACCTCTCCGGGTCCGCGAGGCGCCGCGGAGCCTGCCCTGGCCTGGCCTGACGCTCTGTCCACCTGCTGGCGCTGAGCGTTGGGGTCTCGGCGCGGCCGTGGGGCCTCCTCTTTCCTCGCGCTGTGGCATCGCACCCGCTGGGGCTTCGAGTAGGCGCCGCAGGCCCGCGTGGCCAGTCGCGTCCCCCGAGCTGAACCTCCCGGCGCTGGCCTCGGCCCGGAGACCCGAAACATCCTCTTCCCGCCCCGCCCCCCCATGCCAAGGCCTCTCTGCCCGGGAGAGCCCGGGGTCCGCGCCCCGGGGGAGGGAGGTGCGAGGCCGCTGCGGGAAGGGGCTGCGACCCGCCCCCCGCCCGCCCCGGGGCCCCTCGCCAGGCCCCCTCCTGCCGCCCCAGGTGGTCAGGCGCGGCCGCGCTGGGCTCCCCCGCCGCCCCCGGGGCCCCGACGGGCGCGCGGCGGGTGAAGCTCTGATCACACTGATTGTCCTTCGTGCACCCCAGACTGGGCGCGGGGAACCCCAGGGCCGGGGGGCTGCGGACGCCCACAGCGCGGCCCCGGCCGGCGCCCGAGAGGCCCTCGCTGACCGGCCAGCGCGGGTTCTCGCCAGCCGGCGCGGGGCCGGGGCCGGGCGGGCCGGGCGCCGAGCCGACGCCGCTGCCCACGCCTGCAGGGCGCGGGCGGTCCCGCAGCGCTGGGCCGCGGCTCGGGGGCCCCGGGGGACGCCTCGGGAGGGCCGCAGACCCGGGCGAGGCGGACACAGACGCGGGCGCCGGCGGGGCCGGCCCGACCCGGAGCCACCAGGGCGGGGGCGGGGGGCGGGGCGGGGCGGGGGCGGGGGCGGGCTGCGCCGCGGGAGTCTCGCGAGACCCGCCGGGCCGAGCCCGCCTGCGCGTCGCCGCATCTCGCGGGATCTCGCTCCGGGGCCGCCAAGATGGCGGGTCCCCCAGCGGGCATCTCCGCCGCGGAGGGTCGCGCGACCGCTCGTCCTTCCCCAGCCCTGTCGCCCCACGCCGCCCCGGACGCCATCGCGGCCACAGCGCGCGCACGGCCCGGTGGAGACGTCGGGGCGAAGGGAAAGGCCGAGGAGAGGCGGCGGCGGCGGGGGAGGCGCGGGCGAGGCGCGGGGCCGCGGGGCGGACCCCGCCGTCCACACGGGCGGCCGCGGCGCACCGGGCAGTGTCTCCCGCGGCGACACGCGCAGGCCGCTGCGGGCTCGTCGCAGGGACCCGTGCTCGAGGGGCGCGCCCCGCTGCCCCCGCCGTCACCACAGCCCCGGGCCGCGCGGCGAGGCGGGCTCCGCGCCGGCCCCGACGCGCCCCAAGAGCAGGCCCAGGGCGCTCTACGGAGAGGGTCGCGAGAGGGCACATCTGACCTGGGGTCATGCAGAGGCCAGTGAGTTCACCGAGAGGTCAAATCTGGTTGGGGTCACGCAGAGGTCAGTGGGGTCATGGCGAGGTCAGTGCGCTTGGTAGCGTTTTCCCCTAGTCACTCGGGGCCATGCAGAGGTCAGGGAGGTCACGCAGAGGTCGGCGCCCCTGCTGGACAGACCCGCTTGGCCTTATTTGTATCCCCGGGAAGCCGCCAGCTCTTTTTTCTTGTGAAAATTCAAAGTAATGAAAAACTTCGACGAGGAGGATGTCACAGTCCGCCCTGGATCGCCCTTTCTTGGGACGGCGGAGCTGACCTGTCCAGTGGCGGGGAACCCTGCACGACTGCTTCTTGAGGGGATTTCAACGCCATTTCCTGGAAATCTAGCGACAAATCTAGAGACAAACACTACTTGGAATGTATTATTTTCGATAGGAAACTGCTCAAATGTTTTCGACAGCGACCCCACGACAGAACGATAAACATATCCGGGTGTGGTTTAGAGTTTGTCTTGAATCCCGTGAAGCTAATGTGCTAGATTGTTTAAAAAAACAAAAGTTAGTATTTGTAGAAATATTAGGAAAATCATAGGTATCCAACAGGTTAAATTGTAGAGAAGAACTTCGAATTCTTGTTTTATTTTAGAAGTAATATATAATGAATTTTTGAGTCGAGACCTAGTTTTTATGACTTTAGCAGTCTGGGCCATGTAATTGTTTAAAAAATTATTTTTTTAAATAAAATTTTTTTTTTTAATAGAGGCATGTTTTTATTTATTTATTTGTTTGTTTGTTTTGTTTATACATGCACTGGGTACAGTCAGAAGCGCGGGAGGGTGAGAGAATTCACCAGAGCCAGAGCGGGGAGCAGAGCAGGCAGAGGGACCGAAGGACACTGCTGAGGGGAGCAGCGGGCGGCAGGAGAGGTCTGCGCGCCATGTGGGACCCTCCTCCGGTGGCCGGGGAGCAGCCGGGGATCGAACCAGCGCCGCAGAGGCCGCGGGCAGCTTCGCAACCCAACGTTCAACCGCTGCGCCACCGGGGAGGCCCTAAATAAAATTTTTTAAGATTTATTTATACAAGAACTGGGGTACATTCGGAGGCGCGGGAGGGTGAGAGGAGTCACCAGAGACAGAGTGGGGAGCAGAACAGGCAGACTGACGAAATACACTGCTGAGGGGAGCAGCGGGTGAGGCAGGAGAGGTCTGCCGCGCCATGTGAGTTTCTCCCTGGCCGGCCAGGGATTGAACCCATGCTGCAGAGGTTGCGGATTGCTTCACAGCGCTGAGCTCAACCTGCTGCACCACCGGGGAGGCCCAATTGTTTAAAAAATTAATAGATTGTCTTTAGTATTTTATTAAAGATCGTTATTTTAATAAGATAACAGTTTATTGCTGAATCATTCTTCCCTTTGTATTGGAAACAAACCAGTAGATGGTATAAAACTCTTGGTGTTATTGTGTTGTATTCTAATGTAAACACTATATTGGGGTGCACATATTATGTTTATATAATCTTTAGTCTCCATCTTTTCTTTGAGAGCAAATGTCTAACTGAACTTCTACCTTTTTTAAGATTTATTTATTTATGCATACAAGATCGGGGTACAGGCCAGAGGTGTGGGGGGTGAGAGGATTCACCAGAGACAGAGTGGGGAGCAGAACAGGTGGATTGGCTGAAACACACTGCTGAGGGGAGCAGCGGGCGAGTCAGGAGTGGTCTGCTGCGCAGTGTGGGCAGCTCCCTGGCTGTGGATAGTTTCATAGGTTGCATCTTAACCCCATGCGCCATCAGGGAGACCCCTGAACTTCCGCTTTTCAAAGAATTATACAGATTCACTTTTGGGTAACATTTTTTTATTATGGAAAATACATAAAAAATTTTCAATCCATTCAGAATAGTTCAATAATGCTAATTAAATGTTACCTAATGGTGTACCCAATCTCCAGATTTTCCATCTGCAGAGCTGAAGCTCTATATCCACTAAACAGCTCCTCACCTGCCCTTCTCAACAATTGGCAGCCACCACTATATTTCCCGCTTCAATGAATTTGACTATTCTAAACATTTCATCTAAACACAATAACAGTTTTTGGTGTTTTGTGATTAGCTTGTTCACTTAGAATAATATCCTCGTTTCACCCATATTTGTAGCATGTGTCAGAATCCCCTTTTTTAAGGCTGAATAATATTCCACCGATGCATCTACCATCTTATTAACCCATTTATCTGTCAAGGAACATTTACAGGGCCTCCCCGGTGGCGCAGCGGTTGAGCGCTGGGTTGCGAAGCTGCCCGCGCCCGCGCCCGAGGCGCCGGTTCGATCCCAGGCTGCTCCCCGGCCACCGGAGGAGGGTCCCACATGGCGCGCAGACCTCTCCTGCCGCCCGCTGCTCCCCTCAGCAGTGTGTTTCGGTCCTTCTGCCTGCTCTGCTCCCTGCTCTGGCTCTGGTGAATTCTCTCACCCTCCCATGCTTCTGACTGTACCCAGTGCTTGTATAAACAAACAAACAAACAAACAAATAAATAAATAAAGCATGCCTCTATACCTGCCCTTTTAAAAAAAAAAAAGGAACATTTACATAGCTTCCACCTTTTCACTTTTGTGAATTATGTTGCTATGAACATGTACAACGAATATCTATTGGGTTCTGCTTTCCTTTGTGAATTGCTGCATCATATAGTAATAGTTTTTTAATATTTGAGAAACTGTTACTATGAGTAACACACTTTTCGAAAAGATGGCTATCCTCTGTTTTATCCTCTCCTCTTCCCACCTAGGCTGTGATCCCATGCTCTAGGTGGGGCTTAGGGAACTCTGGCTGTCACCAACACTGAAACACGTTTTTCAGGTTTACTGAATGGCTCTGCCACATGGTCATTTTCATTTAATTATTTTTTCTCTTAAATGTGAAGCTTTATTCTTTATACATTTTGGACTCCTTTTTTAAAATTTATCTTTTTTTAAGATTTATTTATTTATTTATACAAGCACTGGGCACAGTAAGAAGCGTGGGAGAGTGAGAGAATTCATCAGAGCGGGGAACAGAACAGGCAGACTGACGAAGTACACTGCTGAGGGGAGCAGTGGGCGGCAGGAGAGGTCTGTCACGCTATTTGGGACCATTCCAGCTGGCCGGGGATTGAACCGATGCTGCAGAGGCTGCGGGCAGCTTCGCAGCCCAGCGCTCAACCGCTGCACCACCAGGGGAGGCCCCATTTTTAAAAATTTATCTTATATTTGTAACTATTATCAGAAACCAACTGAATGTGTCCACATCACACTCTGTCTTTGCTGCATTTCTTTCCATGTTCATTTTTTCTGTTGTCATTTTCACAAGCAGAGCCACATTTTCTATTAAAACAAGCATTTTTGTTGTTTGCTTGTAGTAGTTGCTTTTGGTTTTTGCAAATATGTTTTTACAACCATGTGTAATTTGGTATCAACTGTCTCTTTGATGTTAGTGAGGTCTAAGAACCTTTCTTTAATTACTTAATACTCCATGCGTTTTGTTATTTGCAACATAGAGTGTTATTTGATTGACCACAGTGCTCTTAGTATACACTAGAGAAATGTTTTCAAAGACACTTAACTGTTTCATGACAATAGGCAACATCACAGTCTTCATTCCTACTTCTATGAATTCACCTACTTTTTACAGAATCAATTAATGGCTATATAATTTGGAACACTTTCTCCTTTATTTCTGATTTTTAAATTATTTAATTATTTACTCCCAGCCACCCTCCACACCTACTCTGTTCCCCTCTGATCACCTCAGTTCTGTTGACATCCATTGGCTTATTTTTTTTGATCATTAATCTGTTTTGTCTCCTTACTAATTCCCCTGAGTTCCTTCCACATGCTGCAAATGGCAAAATCTCCACTACCCTTTATAGCTGAATAGTACTCTATTGTATGTACACATCACGTTTGTCCACGATTCTGTCAGTGGGTTTTTTCCCTGTCTTAGCAACTGTAAATAATGCCACAACAAATACTGTGGTGCACATAACTCTTCCAAGTTAATACATTCACCTTTTAAACAGATACCCAGAAGTGAAGCTCTATTGTGTTTTTTTATATACATTTATTTATTTATGCATACATGCTCCCAGGATTCTGATGTAAACTTTTTTGGTGCCACAAATCTTGGAAACAGTAAGGATAATGATGAGATGAAGGCCAAAGTCAAAAAATGTCTTTAAAAATCGTTTGATTGAAAAATACCTTTTCATCAATGTGTGAGTCTGGAAAGCACAGAAATATTAAAAGGGAAATCAAAGTCATGTACAATCACAGACAAGCACCATTTTGTGGTCTCGTTTTTATGCTTTTTGGTTTTGTGTCCTAGGGACAAGAATGTTTGTGCAAAAACAAATGACTGGTAGGGGCTGCATCCTTTTCCACTAGGTGGCGCCATGGCGCGTGGACACGGAGGACACCCAGGCTGTGGTCAGTACCGTCCCAACATGGGCAGCCAGTAACCTCCATCTTTGTGGGCGATTGTGATTAGTTTCACAGACTATATCCTGGGAGTGACTATTGTGCAACCAGAGGCTTGATAATATTGCCAGGCCACTGTTTCCTGTTTGGGTACATCAGCCAGAACCTCCAAAACCCAAGTTGCCTAGAGGAGAGGCCTAATAATTCCTTTCCAAAGGTGAGTCTCTAACTAGAATGACAAAGATTGTCCTTCCAATGCTCAGTGGAATTTTTCTCTCCAGGTATTTCCTACTTCTGCTCCTTGTTTTCATTTTCCTTTCCCAAACTGAAAGAAAAAAAAATTGGATTTTGATGATTTGTTATTCACACACTTCCCAGAGCTGAATACCATGTAGCAGACCAAGTTCAGTTGATTTTCCTCAGTGTGAGAGTGAAGGAAGTGATGATCCGATGCACGGGCTGGAGAGGGACACAGGCATGAAAATAATTGCACAGAGCAGTGATGTAGGAACTAATGGCATAATCACAGATGTAGTAAAGACAGCCAATCTGCTATGTATCAGGCATTGGTTTTTACAGATACATTGATTCATGTAATCAACCTCTGCTGTTACTTTCACATTAGTGCTCAGGTCATGTTTGCCTCTTTTATTTGTTGACCATGTGAGTCCCCTGCAGGATGGCAGCTGACCGCGGTCAAGGATCATCATCCTTTTTTTTATTTTTTATTTTTTTTTTTTTTTTATAGAGGCATGCTTTATTTATTTGTTTGCTGGTTTGTTTGTTTGTTTTGTTTATACCACTGGGTACAGTCAGAAGCGCGGGAGGGCGAGAGAATTCGAAGTACCTGCTGAGGGGAGCAGCGGGCGGCAGGAGGTCTGCGCGCATGTGGGACCCTCCTCTGGTGGCCGGGGAGCAGCCGGGGATCGAACCGGCGCCACAGAGGCCGCGCGCAGCTTCGCAACCCAGGAGGCCCCATCCTTTTTTTTTTTTTTTTTTATATCCAGCTTTTTACACGTTGCTTGCCCAGTTGCTTGCCATGTAGTAGATGCTCAATTAACATCACTCGACAGCATTACGTTAAAAAAAAAAAAAAAACTCTCCTTGGCCCTCCAGAGTTAGAGACCTTCCCTGCTCAGTATTACCAAGGGGACTTGTTTCCCTGGCGGTGACATGGATTCGACAGGAACCCTCAGGCTCAGGTCCTGCTGAGGACCTTGGGCCAGTTATTCCTAATAGGTATTATTCCTATTATTAGCATCTCCATTTTGCAGGTGAAGTTCTCAGGCATAGAGTAACTGGTGATGTGATGGTGGCGCCGGAGCGACCTCTGAGGAAATGATGCTGACATCTGCAGTTGCAGGATGAGGGGGAACCAGGCACAACAGTGGGAGGAAGAGCTCGAGGGCGGGAGGAGCTGGAAGGGAGGGCGCCATTGCCACGATACGCGAGGCAGACGATGGAGAGCGCCAGTCACTCTGGGTCAGGCAAACGGACGGGATTTATTCCAAGGTGAACAAGGGGTTTTTTGAAGCAGAGGTGGGAGGAAGTTATAAGACCTTATTCACTTTCAGGGCCTCCCCTGGTGGCGCTGGCGGTTGAGTGCAGCGCTGTGAAGCTGCCCGCAGCCTCTGTAGTGCTGGTTCGATCCTGGCCTGCCAGTGAGGGTCCCACATGGCACGAAAGACCTCTCCTGTCTCGCCCGCTGCTCCCCTCAGCAGTCTGTTTCGTCAGTCTGCCTGTTCTGCTCCCCGCTCTGTCTCTGGTGAATCCTCTCACCCTCCCGCACATCTGGCCTGTACCCCGGTTCTTGTATAAATAAGTAAATAAATCTTTAAAATAAAAAAAAGATCTTATTCACTTTCAGGATCGTTCTATTCTGTGGAGGTGGAGAGAGTGGAAACTTAGAGGGCAGTTAGATTCCAGGAAGGACATCGTGGAGGTCTGGACCAGCTGGAGGCTCTGGAAATGAAGGGAGGAGGGTTCCTGCCCCATCCTGCAGATGTGCCTCAGGAGCAAACGGCTGTCCCAGTGGGTGGCCCGGATGTTGGGGGTGAGTTCTAAGGCTCTGGCTTGGCCAGATTGGTGGATGTGAAGCTGTTCAAGAGACAGAGCTCTGGGGCTGAACAGATTTTGAAGGGATCACAGAGACTATCCCAATAACCCAGGTCCCCAAAATGAGCTACCCCTGGAGTTGAACCAGCTACTTTTCATTCCCTTTTTCAGGAATATTTCAGACTCCCTCCAAAGCCACCCACTCTTCTGTCTTTAAAATAATCAGGGCCTCCCCAGTGGCGCAGCGGGTTGAGCGCAGCACTGTGAGGCTGTCCACAGCCTCTGCAGCACCGGTTCAATTCCCGGCCAGCCAGGGAGATACCCACATGGTGTGGCAGTCCTCTCCTGCCTCGCCCGCTGCTCCCCTCAGCAGTGTACTTCGGTCCTTCTGCCTGTTCTGCTCCCTGCTCTGTTTCTGGTGAATTCTCTCACCCTCCCACGCCTCTGGCCTGTACCCCAGTGCTTGTATAAATAAATCAATCTTAAAAAAACAAAACAAAACAATGAAAGGGTCCTGTCTGGTGGCACAGGGTTAAGTCTCAGCACCAGCACTATGAAGCTATCTGCAGCCACTGCAGCACGAGTTTGATCCACGGCCAAGGAAGTGGTCCACAGGGCACACCAGACCTCTCCTGTCTCCCCACTGCTCTCCTCAGCAGTGGATCTCAGTGGATCCACCTGTTCTGCTCCCCAGTCTGTCTCTGGTGAGTCCTCCCACCCCCACACCTCTGGCCTACCACCCAGCTCTTGTATGCATAAATAAATAAATCTTTAAAAGGAAAAAACAATGATATCTGGGAGATACAAAATAACATAAAACTTAAAAGAAAGCTGGAGTGGAAGGTCACGCATAACAGAGTAGTCATAACAAAAACCATGTTAGAGGCTGCGCACAGTGCCTGAATATAACTACAAGGTTTAGACATAAAGAGCCAGGCACGCAACAAATATTTAACTTTATGTTATAAATAGATTTTACAGGGCCACTAAAAGAAGATCAGCACAAATACGCGTGCAGAACTGGAGACACAGGAACTGGCCTAGGACTGGCCAGAGCGTATGAGACACCTACTCACGAGCTCCTGTGCCCGCATGAAGGCAGAGGGCGGCAGCTCCAGAGCACCTGCCGTAAATGGTGGTGACCACGGATCCCCTTTCAAAGGGTCCCAAGTTACAAAGTGGACACAAAACTCTGACATGATATGGAATATCCACACGGCACATAATCCAACTGCCAGTGGAAATAGTGAAAGATCCAAGGGACTCATGACAGAAAAGTTAAAACGGTCCACTTACCAAAATTAGGATACCGCATGAAATACCTCAGTCCATGAACTCAATTCAAGACCGAGAATTCACAGGCAAAGCCCCAAAGCAAGAGGCACTTTTAAGGAATGGGATCAACCACACTGTTGATGCACTGGGCCAGAGAAACATCAAAGAATCCCACAAAATGCACCCGTTTGAAATAATTAAAAAGTCAATCAAAGATAATTCTTTTTCTAAACAGAAAATTGTGGCTGAAGGCCCTGGAAACATATTGGACCAAAGGAGCCAAAGGCGAATTACAGATCACTGAGAAAAATCAGATGACAGCGAGAGCATAAATGCTAGACACTGACCTCTGGGTATTTTCATATTACTTAATATTGGACGCCATAACACTTGGCATATGTCCCCTGAAATAACACTATTAATGTACTGAATTAACCGATTGTATCCAGAAGAACCAGCATTTAACCCATAGAGAGATCCAAAAGCCTGCATCAAGAAACTCATTCTTGGGCATCCCTGGCGACGCAGGGGTTAAGTCTCAGCAGTAGGAAGTTATCAGCAGCCACTGCAGCATGAGTTCAATCCCCAGCCAGGGAGCTACCCACATGGTGCAGCAGACCTCTCCTGTCTCCCTGCTGCTCCCCTCAATACTGGATGGCAGTAGATTGGCCTGGTCTGCTCCCCACTCTGTCTCTGGTGAGTCCTCTCCCCCGCTGCACCTCTGGCCTTGTATGCATAAATAAATGAAATAAATCTTTTTAAAAGTAATGCATAAAAATAAATATAAAAATTAAAAAAGAAACTCATCCTTCTTATACTTCTGTGTTGCTTCGTATTGTCTGCAGTACCCATCACATGACATTATATGTTTTGTCCTGAAAGTATTGACAATAATCCCGACAACTGGCAAGCCAAACTCTTTACTAATCACACATTATGCCTGATAGAAACCTTCCATGTTACGAAAAACTAACCGTAATAGCAGACAAGAAACTGCATTCGACGTTAAGAAATAAAATGGAGGAATAATAAGAGTATACAGAAAAAACCCAGAACACGACTTTCTGGTACCAGGAAACATCACCCAAACTGGGGGTTGGTTACAGTATACCCAGACGACCTACAGGGACCAACCCCACCTCCATTTCCAATCCTAAAAGATGAAGAAAGCTCAGACATAGAAATAATCGAAGGGGATCAAGGAGACGAAGACATCGGCGATCTTCAAATACACGACCTGGACAAACAAGCATCAGAACTATTCCCGCACGTACAGGAAATACTGCTCCAGGGTAACAGCAACCAAACAGCAGAAATGCCTCAACTTTGGAGAACACCATGAAAAACCCTGGATCATTTACACAATATGACGGAAGAAGAGTGCAACTCTCAGCAACCCTCCAAAGGCTGCCAAACATATGACCTTTTACAATCATGGCGATTGTCCCCCTCTTGCCCTTCGCTACTGCTTCCTTGCTATTTGTGCTGTTAATTTAGGATTTGGAGACAAAATATCATCATCAGATTCAGCAGCAACGACTGGACCAACCACTCAACCTCCAGTTCCAGGAACGACTTGGACATATCCGGACCCACCGCACAGCATCTCAAGGTACTCTGACCACAGACACCTTGCCAAAGGTGTCACCTGTGATGTGCAATCCTTTACACTAAATATGCCTTCTGTTCTAGCGTGGACATCAACATATACCAGCAACAGAGTGAAGAATTCTACAAAGCAAATAGAAGACACAGTCATTGGCACTGCCAACACTGAGGAATAGCAGTAGTCCAGCTGCTTTCACAGTTAGGAAGCGCAGCGCTGCAAACAAACAGAATCATGCAGCTCAGTAATGGCATGCACAGCAATTTTTCCTGACGTTTGGAAACCATTAAGACAAGTTCATAGAAAAATATTGCATATAAATAAAACATTTGGAAATGCCTCTAAATAAAACATTTGAAAATACAAACAGCAAAAAATACAGCCGAAGCAGGCACATTCACAAAACTCAGTTATGAACATGCCTTCAGCTTCAAATTCTTTCCAGCATGAATCTGTTACAGGGCAGGGAGAAGGGCAGCCCAGACCCCGCAAACCTGCCTGCTCTAAATAGGTTCTGCCATCCGCCACATCAACACAAAACCTATGAGACTTTAATGGGAAGGAACTTTAATACAATTAGGAAACAACACAGGAAAGGCAAAGAATATAGTTTCTAAATCAAGCACCCAAAGTTACCTGTCCCCTCAAGGGTAAAAGTCCATCCAAACAGGATTGGCCCAGAGTGAGGCCTCAAAGCTGCCCCAAGTCCAAGGCACCTTCCAGCGGGGACCCACAGAAAAGGGTCAGAAACAACCAGACAAGTGTGGGAAGAAAAGAGCAACATCAACATCAAGATAAAAGCTGCCATTGTCACCTCCCCACGGGTCTCACCCACATCTGTGTCACCCCATCCACGACCAAAAGCTGAGCGTAGATTCTTCACATGTCACTCCATTTCATGTGCCTCCCCCAGGTCTCCTTCTGGCTCCATCCTGCTTCCTTCCTTCCTCAGTCTCCTCTGCAGCTTCTTCTCTCCCTGCTCAGCTCCACCCTCCCTTGGGTGGAGCAATGAACCTGGAACCTCCCCCTTTCCTGGGGACCCCCCTGTTACAGAACCAATTCTGGTATCATCCAGATGTGACAGATCAAGGAGATGAGTACAACTAGGAATATGAACCTGGATCTGGTGACAGAGACAGAGACGGGGATGATGGAGGAAATGTCAAAGGCAATACAGAAGCTTCGTCTTCAACTCCGCCATCCCCCACCTCACCCTCTATTCCACACCTACATCCAACATTCCCACCACCAACAGAACCAGTACCTGCCCCATAGGACTTTCTGTGTCCAGAAGGAATCATGAACCATTCTAAGGACACAGATACCACCATGAGATGTCTCCTCAACTTCCAAAACTTTCCATATTTTGGACAACTCAACATAAAGGACCACATTAACTCCTGGGACCCTCAGGTATGTAATATAAGTCAACCATGAGTAGAAAACACTTGGAGCATCATTGCACTTGGAACCCAATCTCGGACCGTTAGGGCTCACAGATGTTGGACCACAAGTACCAAACAATTTACACTCAGATACACCCCGCCTCAAATGAAGTACATTCTACCATTTACCAAGAAGGTGTCTTGAAACTGTGCACACACCCGTCACACATCTGCCAACCAGGATTATCGATTCCAGGAATCTTCCAAAAACTACAAAATAACCATCACCATGAAACCACACAGAAAGCTGAGAAAATATCGCAAGCTTCCAGGACCTATACAGCACTGGTTCGATCCCTGGCTGCTCCCCGGCCACCGGAGGAGGGTCCCGCATGGCGCGCAGACCTCTCCTGCCGCCCGCTGCTCCCCTCAGCAGTGGACTTCGGGCCTTCTGCCTGCTCTGCTCCCCTCTCTGGCTCTGGTGAATCCTCTCACCCTCCCGCGCTTCTGACTGTAGCCAGTGCATGTATAAATAAATTAAAAATAAATAAATCTTAAAAAAAAAAAGTTAGTAAAAACTGCTTTAACCCTTGTGGTCTCGAGCCCTAGACCTTTAGTAATGATTAAGATTAGACACTTACTCTACATAAAGGTTTTAGCTTCCATCTCATTAAAAACCTTCTTAATATAAAAGTATATTTAAAAACTTGTAGGGCCTCCCTGGGGGCACAGGGATTAAAGACAGTGCAATTAAGCTCTCACCAGCCACTGCAGCGCAAGTATGATCCCCGGCCCACCAGGGAGCTACCCACAGGGCGCAGCAGACCTCTTCTGTCTCCCCCCTGCTCCCCTCAGCAGTGGATTTCAGTGGATCCACCTGTTCTGCTCCCCACTCTGTCTCTGGTGAGTCCTCTGGCCTATACCCCAGCTATTGTATAAATAAAAAATTAATTAAAAGAAAAAAGAAAAACTGCAGTTGTGTAACTCATTCCACATGGACTAACTAAGAAAACTGCCTTGGCCCCTAGATGCTGTAAATTAGTATAGATGGTTCCTGTAGATCTTTTGAACTAAGAAATGTAATAAAAACTGGTGCAAGTACTTTGAGAAAATATGATGAGATAATTTTTGGTTAATAGGGACTAACTTATAATGGTATAGGTTGTTTTCAAATGCACTTATAAGGTTGTATCAAGTATAATTCTATTTCTTGTCTTGGGTTTGCTTTTTAAAGATTTATTTATTTATGCATACAAGAACTAGGGTACAGGCCAGAGGTGTAGGGGGTGAAAGCATTCACCAGAGACAGAGTGGGGAACAGACCAGGCAGACGGACTGAAATCCACTGCTGAGAGGAGCAGCGGGGAGTCAGCAGGGATCTGCTGCACCCTGTGGGTAGCTCCCTGGCCGGGGATTGAACTCGTGCTGCATTGGCTGCAGAGAGCCTCAGGTTGCATCCCAACCCCTAGAGCCACCAGGGAGGCCCTTGTCTGGGTTATTAATGTTGGGTACATAATGTCTTTTCAGTGTCAAAAAAATGGGATTTAGATTCCAATATGAGATAAAAGCTGAAGGTGATGGCCTGACTCTCAACAATTGCACCAGTGAACCGCACAGGAGCTTTCAGGAAGATTAAATATTGCTTTGCTGCTGCTTTCTAATATTTACGGCAAAGCTTCCCAAAAGTCTAAAGTAAAATTTGGTAGTTCTGTCAATTGGTTCATCGAAAGAGATCTTGTGAAACCTCAGTAGAGCTCTTAAGACACTTCAGGAAAGTTCTCGCTTTCCTCCTGGAAAAGGGATTAGATGAATTGGTCCTATTGGTTTACCGGGTAAAACAAAACTAAAGGAAAGCATGGTCACTTGAAAAAAAAAAAAGTACGACTTTGGCATGTACGGAAATGTTAACATTGCTTTTCTGAAACTTTTCTGAAATCTTTCAGGTCCTGCCTTCAGCTAACTCCAATGGACAGAACTTCTGACAGTGAAAATTTCCTACAGAGGACTGAATAGTGAGAGTTAAACCTGATTTTTGATGTTTTTGCTAAACAGAATATTAGTGATTTTTTTGGTATTTTGCTTTGACTCAAAGAAAGTTTCCTTGTTTTGACCAGGATCTGCAACAAATACGCATTTTTCAAGCAGAGCTAACTTGTGTTTGTATTTTCTCTCCCCCTGATACTAACACAGAATAAAACAGCGGGAGTAATTTTGCTACTCTGTCATGACAGAGTAGATTTTTGCATAACTTCAATAGGGAATTTTGTCTGCTTAACTTAAAAATGTAAAAACATGTTTCATTGTGTGACTTTGATTAAAATTCTTTCATAAGTTAAATGTGAGCTTAACCAAGAAGAGGAAAACCTGCTCTTTGTAGGATTCCAGAGCCCTCCAAAGAAGGTGAGAAAGCGTGCCTCCAGGGGCAGGACTGGACAATCCGAAAAAAACAAATCCTGGTGGGCCTCCCCGGTGGCGTAGCAGTTGAGCGCTGGGCTGTGAAGCTGTCTGCAGCCTCTGCAGCACGGGTTCAATTCCCAGCCGGCCAGGGAGATTGCCACATGGTGCGGCAGACCTCTCCTGTCTCGCCCGCTGCTCCCCTCAGCAGTGTGTTTCAGCCAATCTGCCTGTTCTGCTCCCCGCTCTGTCTCTGGTGGATCCTCTCACCCTCCCATGCCTCTGGCCTGTACCCCAGCCCTTGTATAAATTTAAAAAAAAAAAAAAAAAAAAAAAACACCCAAATCCTGGTAACCTCGAAAAGAAACAATCCCAGGTGGAATTCCTGAAGCCTGCACCAACTGCATGTCAAGAGTTCCCTCTGATCCTACATAGGAGTATTCCAACAAAGCCAGGTAAAATTGCTGTCTGGTTATTCTGCCCTGTGATTTTATGCAAAAATAGGTAAAATGGTCTCAAAGTAAATTTAGTTTACAAATATTTTGCTATACTGTTTGATAAAATTGGCATTAGAGTGAACAAAACTTGTTTTCAGATGTAAATCAAGTTTAAGATTTTTTTTTCTTCTGGTAATTTCGATATATTTATTGTTTTGTTTTAGGCTAATGCCTCTTGATGTTTTTTCTTTGGCCTTAAACTGGCACACTAATTTCCAGTCATGAAGGACTGTCCTACCGCACTTTCACAGACAATGCTGGTGACCACTGCTTCTCTAGCATATGCTGAAACCCTGGGAAAAAAAAAACAACTGTCCTAAGACTGCACCCTGGGATCTACACTTAAAAAACAAAACATAAAGTGGGGAGTCTAGAGGATAACTTGCCCCCATAGGTACTTATATACAACGTTTTATTTATTTTTAAATTCTTGAATTGCAAAGCTTTGGCCTAACAACTGTTGAGCAACATCTCATTCCTCATTCTTCTGGCCTCACGGCAGAGGAGCAGCATTTTATGGCAGCAACACCAAGCCCTCGGCCCTGGGTCGGCTATCACCGTCCACTGCGAGGACCAACTTGGCTGGGGCCTTACAACACTGAACATGGGGGAGAGGGGATGTTTCTGTTTCATCACCTACAGGACCACTTTGGGTTCCAGCAAAAAAGGACCCATCTTACTCGGAGCTCCAGCCATCAGCGACGCAGCCGCCACCCGGGTGCCACCTACGCAGGCTGACAGGAGGAAGGAGGACCCTTCCCATCGACCGTGCCGTCCTCCGGAACCTCGGATCAAGACTCGATGCCCTTCAGGCTGCTGTACGCTGACGTGATAGACGTCAACAAGCCCCGGACGCCACCAGCTCCGTTGTGTTCTGTTGTGATGCCGCTCTACGAAACTCCGTTTCCGACGTCACGGGCCTTAGACACACTATAACCACAACAGACAGCAAAAGGTCAAGAGATCAGCTAAATATTGGACAGACCCATCTGTATATACTCAGACTAATGCTACGTGGAAACCTGAGTTTGATGCCCGCCTGGGGAGCCGACCCACAGGGCGCAGCAGACCCCCGTCTCGCCCGGGGCTCCCCTCAGCAGGGGATCCGCCTGTCTGCTCCCCGCCCTGTGGCTGGGGAATCCTCTCATCCGTGCTCCTCTGGCCTGCACCCCACTTCTTGTTTGCATTAAAACAATTCATTAAAAACAAAGACATCAGCCACCCAGTACGTGTGCCTAGATACTGCAGAACACCGGGCCCCACCAGGTAAGCACCCCTGTCCCCTGAATGTAACCAGTTTCTCTTCTTGCATCTAACGAAGGGAGGACGTTCCAGGAAGCTAACAGGAAGTTCCTCAGCAGGTCTCAACAAAGCAAGACAGCGCCCACCGAATCTGCAGCTGCCCCACCTGGACACCGGAGACCCTTCCTGTCTCCCCTCTGCAGACCCGCGCCCATCTGTACTTTTTTTTACACCTTTGTATACACACCCCTGCCCTCGCCAAGAGCAGGGGGTGGTCTTCCCGTGTCCTGTGAGCCCTGGGCCCTGTAGTGACTCCTTGCCCACCCACAGCCGCCGCCTGAACCCGAGGACGGCGAGGAGGCCGGGAGGCCCAGCACCCACTGCGCCATGCGGGTCAGCTCCTGGCGGGGATGGACTCAGGCGGCCACGGTGACAGCCTGAGACTGACCCCCGGGCCACAGGGAGGCCCTGACCTTGAGCTCTGGCAGCGTGAGCACATCCCCAGTGTCTGCATAACTTCAAGAAGCAGCTAAAATGAGGGACGCCAGTGCTCAGCGCCAGAGCCGGCCCCCGAGAGCCCCAGAAGCTTCCCCCGTACGGCGACTCCTGGGCGCCTCTGGAAGCTCAATGAACGCAGCGGGAAGTTCTCCGACCCTGAAAACGTCAGTAAGACACTGAGTGGAAAAGCCACACCCAGGACTTCCCAGTGAGAAGGGAGCTCGGGCTGAGACTGAGACACCCAAGCCGGCCCTTGCCTCGGGGCAGGAGGCGCAGCCCCAGGTGCAACCCGCAGTGACGCTCCTTCTGCAGGCTGATGTGCTGCTCCACAGAATGCCCGGGGTGCCCAGGGCGGCGGCTGCAGGGGCTCCACAGCCTGGCCCTGGGCTGCTGAGCAGGGATAGAGCCCTCGAGCAGGCTCTGAGCTACCAACGGGGGCGGGTCCGCCTGTGGAGACGGTACCGCCAGCGCACTGGGGGTCTGCCCTGGGGTCCGGCAGAGACAAGGCCAGGCCACTCTGGGGTAGAAGAGCAGGGGGTCGTCCACCTGGCCAGGGTTCCTGCGGCCTGACCCTCAAGGCGGGAGATGCGAGAGGACACTGGGCTCTCCAGGCACTGGCTGCTGTTCCCTGGGCCCACGGGGCAGCAGGCGACCCAGGGGGCAGGGTCTTCCTGAGGCTGACCTGAGCTGCTCGGGATGGAGAGACCACCCACGCGGACTCCCTCCCCTGAGCTCCGTGGAGCAGGGCAGGCCTGGGGGCAACAGGGGGGCCTGCCCACGCAGGCTGCCTCCAGCCTTGGGATGGGGAGGCTGAGTCAGCAGATGGGGCTCCAGCACCTGGGTCCCCAAGCGGGCTGGCAGGGCTCACGGCCAGAGGTGGATGCGCCCTAGAGCCTGGCACATGCCGTGTGCGCTGCTCCCTGCCAGCGCGTCCAGACCTGCTGCCCAGAATGTGTGCTGACTGGCAGGGGCAGGTGACCTGCTGCCCGGCTCGCCTGGCTAAAGGCATCCCTGGGCCGCCAAGGGCCAGGCCAGGCCGCTCGGAGTTGATCCTGGGTCCTGGGCCTGCTTTAGCCCACTCCGGCTGGGCAGCTTCAATGCTCCGCCTGCTGGTCTTGAGCCTGGCACTCAGTGTCCACCAGGTACTTGGCTTGACAGGATGCAGCATGGCCACACAGCAGCGGGCAGGGCAGGGGGACACAGAAACTGTGCTCCGCAAGACGCCAAGAACAAACGGGAGGCCCCGCGGGCACCAGGCAGGCTGTTTCCTGGGAAGCTTCTGTCCCTCGGGGGCTACCCTCCTGGCCCCATCTGGGTCAGGCCCCACGGCCAGCGCGCCCCACTGTCCCCCAGGCCCTGAGCACAGAGCTGGCGACTCAGAGGGCGCAGGCAGGACGCTGGCAGTGGGAGGCTCCTGGACCCGGAGCAGTCCCAGTGCTCGATCTAGACCCCTGCCAGCCTGGCGGGGGCAGGTGCTTCCCACCAGGGCAGGGTCAGAACCTGAAGCCCGCGGGAGGCCCCGGGAGGGTGCTGCAGCCAGTGCTGCCCCACCGGGATCCTGCCAGCTGCGCCACCTGACTCACCCCAGCCCCACCCTCTGCCCATACCCAGGCCTGGCCGCCTCCCGGCCAGCAGGTGCACCACACGCGGCACCCGCGCTGGCGGCTGACCCCGCCACCCACCGGCTCTTAACCTCGTCTACCAAGTGAGCCGCAGGCAGCCCCTCAAGGGGTCCCTCCCTGCCCGGGGCCCTCCTGGGTGGCTGTGAGGCTCCTGTCCTGGCTCCCTTTTGTGGCATCAACGGGGGTGCAGGGACCCCGTTCCGCAAGTCACCACTTCTGCAAGGAGCCCTGGTTTTGCACACCAAGGGCCGAGGCGGGAGCTGGACTCCCTGCTACCAGGTGTCCCTGGGGGGAGCCGGGACCCAACTCTTACCATGCACGGCTGCCCCCTCCTCGCCAGGCCCCACGGGGACCCGCTGGCCACACTGCCTGCAGCGTGGCCACCTGCCCAGCCCCAGGACACAGACTGGGTCGGTTCAAAATCGCTCACTTATACCCCGCCGGGAACACGTGCACTGACCTCTGGGCTACAGTGTTTGCTCAAGGTCATGCCTGCCTCTGGCCAGGACACGCGGGCCACCGTTCCCGGTGAGGTCTCTGCCGCGCCTGGCAATCATTGACCGGCCCGTAGCTCCCTTGCACCCCTGCCTCCACACAGCCCAGGACGCCCCATCCTGGCGGCCTCCCCCGCCCGGCCCTGCGGGTGCTCGCTGGCCCCTGGGCTCCGAGAGGCCTCAGGGCATTTGTGCGGCTGCGCCCCCAAGGGACTGAATACCCCGCATTTCCCGGATCCCTTCTGATCTGTGCAAAGGCGCTCCACCTTGAAGCCGTCCTCCAAAACGCACAGCTTAGCGGTCGAGCCTCCGCACACCCGGCGGTGCCGGGCTGACCCTGCTCGCCCGCCCGTCCGGCGGCGCCCTGCGGCACGCGTCCACGCAGGGCCTCCGCGAGGCGCGCCGGCCAGCTCGGGGCAGGGGCACCGCCCGCCCACAGGTGGGGGCACCGACCCCAGCAGCAGGACCCGCCTGGCTCTGCACCGGGCCACGCTGGCCCACGTGGTGCCCACGTGCTGGCGCGCCCGCGGGGACCAGACGAGTCCTCCCGAGGCGCCCGCAGCCCTCAGGCCACGCCCACCCAGGCCACGCCCCCGGACAAGGCCCCACCCCTCGCTCCGGCCACGCCCCCGGGGCCACTCAGGCCACGCCCCCTCGGGCCACCGCCTCCGGGCCGGCCCGGGACTGGGAGGTACGCACCGCGTGCATGGAGGGTCGGGCCGACATGGCGGCGGCGGCGGTGCGCGTGGCCAAGCAGCAACTGCGGGCCGAGCTGAAGCAGCGCCTGCGGACCGTGAGCGCCGAGGAGCGCCGACGCCAGTCCCGCCTGCTGACCCAGAAGGTGCGACCTCGCCGGGACCGGGCGACAGCCACCCGCCACCGGCCGTCCCGGCAGGGAAGTGCGCAGGCGCGGGCCTCGGCGCGCGCCCCCCTGCATACGTCCCCCGCGCGCGCCCCCATGCGTACGTCCTCCCGCGCGCGCCCCCCATGCGTACGTCCCCCGCGTGCCCCCTGTGCGTATGTCCCCCAGCGCGCGCCCCCCCGTGCGTACGTCCCCGCGCGCGCCCCCCGTGCGTACGTCCGCGCGCGCCCCCCCGTGCGTACGTCCCCGCGCGCGCCCCCCCGTGCGTACGTCCCCGCGCGCCCCCCCGTGCGTACGTGCCCCGCGCGCACGAGCCGGAAGGTGGCGCGCACGAGCCGAGGGCGCGGAGGGGGCCTCGCGCGCCGGCCGCGGGGCGGGGAGGCGGGGCTGCTGCCCGCCCCGGGCCCGGACCCGCCCGCCCCGCCGCCCTCCCCGCGCCGGGGCCCCAGCGGCCTGGCTCCCGGGCCTCTGGCCCGCGGGTCTGCCGGCCGGGCCGAGCGCGTGTCCCGGGCTGAGCCGCGCGGGGGCGGGCGGGGCGGGCGGGCCGGGCGCCCGGCTCCGGAAGGCAGGGAGGGGCGCGGGCGCGGGCGGGCGCGGGGTCCCGGGACCCGCGGCGGCCCGTGGGGACCGCGCCGGGCGGGCGGGGCCGGGGCGGGGGCGGCCCCTCAGGCGCCCGCGCGCCGCCCGCAGGTGGTGGCCCACGGCGCGTACCTGCGGGCGCGGCGCGTCGCCGTCTTCCTGAGCATGGCCGACGAGGTGGACACCGGCGACATCATCAGGGACATCTTCCGGCGGGGCAAGGCCTGCTTCGTGCCCCGCTACCGGCCCGGGAGCGCCCACATGGACATGGTGCGGCTGGCGTCCCCGAGGAGGCGGCCGCGCTGCCCCGCACGGCCTGGAACGTGCGCCAGCCCGGCGAGGGGGAGGCCCGCGAGGAGGCGCTGTCCACCGGTGAGGGCCGGCCCGCGGCCTCCCTCTGGGGCCGCCCGCCCCGCTTCGCGCGGGCCCTCGGGGCGGGGCCTTAGCAGACCGGCCCTGACCTCGCGGCCGCCGGCCACGCTGGCCCCTGCGGCTCAGCTGGGCCCGGCCTCGCGTGTGCGGCCTGCGGGTGCCGCCCAGGCCCCGCCCCCGGCCCCGCCCACTGGACTCAGGCCCCGCCCACTGGACTCAGGCTTGGCTCCGGGCCGGCCCCACCCTGGACTCAGGCCCCGCCCCCGGGCCGGCCCCGCCCCTGGCCCAGGCCCCGCCCACTGGGCGCAGGCTTGGCTCAGGCCCCGGCCCCTCCCTGGGCTCAGGCCCCGCCCACTGGACGCAGACTTGGCTCACGCCCCGCCCCGGCCCCACCCTGGACTCAGGCCCCGCCCCCGGCCCAGGCTCCACCCTGGGCTCAGGCCCCACCCGCTGGGCCCAGGCCCCGCCCCCGGCCCAGGCTCCACCTTGGGCTCAGGCCCCGCCCCCTGAATTCAGGCCCCGCCCCCAGGAGTCGGGCCCCGCCCCTGGGCTCCGGCCCCGCCCCGCTCAGGCGCCGCCCTCTCCCCGCAGGGGGCCTGGATCTCATCTTCATGCCCGGCCTGGGCTTCGACGCCAGCGGCCGCCGCCTGGGCCGGGGCCGCGGCTACTACGACGCCTACCTGCGGCGCTGCCTGCAGCGCGGGGGCGCCCGGCCCTGCACCCTGGCGCTGGCCTTCCGCGAGCAGCTCTGCGCCCAGGTGCCCGTGGACGAGCACGACGAGCCGGTGGACGAGGTCCTGTGCGCGGACGCGGCGCCGCCGTCCTGACCGCCCGCGCTCGGGGTGTCGGGGCCGCCCTCCCGGAGCCCCGCCCGGCGTCCCGGGACGCGCCGCGGCCCTGCAGCCACCCCGCGGCGCCGAGGGAGCTCCCGAGGCAGCGGGCAGCGCGGCCCCACGCTCGGCCCCGCTCGCTCTGGCCTCCTCCCGGTCCCGTCCTCAAGGCACACCGGGCCTCCGAGCGCCACCTCTACCCTCGGCCTCTGCCAGGCGCGCCCACGCACAGGCCGCCCCGCGCCGGGCGCTCCCGGTGCCCTCTGCAGTCAAGGCCCCGTGCTGGCCACAGAGGCCAGCAGTGTGACAGCCGGACCACCACTTGCCCTCCACCCCCAGGCCCGGGCCCTGGCGCGGCCCGTGGCGGTTCCCTTTGCCTCGGCGTCCCCAGGGGTGACGGCACCACCTCTGCTCACCAGCTCCCGGGAGGCACCTGGCGCGGACGTCCCGCAGGCCCCGCTCGGCTCAGCCCAGCCCAGCCACCCGCCCGCCCACCCGCCCGCTGCCCCTGGTGCCCTCCAGGGCAAGCTTTCACGGGGAGGCCCTTCCTGTTGGTTTTGGCGTCCACTCCGCGCCAGCCGGCCTGGGCTGCGGGGGTGCTGCGGGCTGGAGCGCACTGCCGGCCTGTGTGGCGGCAGGACTGGCCCGCCAGACGCTGCCACGCCCCCGGGGCCGCCCCTGCCCGCCTCTGGCCCCGTCTGCCCTCAGCTTAGCTCCACGGACCCGGCTGGACCCAGACCCGCCTCCCCTGCCCTGTCTGCCTCGCCCCTTGTGCCCGCCTGCAGGGGCCAGAGGGCAGACTGGGGCAGCTTCTGCCAGTGGCCACACACAGCCTGCAGGCAGCGGCCCCGGGCCCTGTGTCCCTCTCCTGCGCCCCCTGCTCTCCCCGGAGAGTCCAGGGCAACAGCGGAGTTGAAGCTCAGGCTGGGGCTGGGCTGGGCTGCAGCAAGGGCCTTGGGCGGGGCGGGGCGGGGGCCCACGAGGGGGGTGGCGGCGGCAGCTGGTGCGTGTGCCAGTCTGTGTTTTACAGCGTCCCCCGCCTTCCCGTTTTTTGGTCATTAAAAAACACCTTTCATTACATACACAGAAACGGAAACTGGTCAATTTTATGGAGAAAAGTTTCATCCCAAGGTGGGAGCTTGGTCTCCTGGACTCGCTGTCCTGTTCCCCGGGGCTCGCTGTTTCTGTCCTGTTTCTCCTGTAAACTGGGGTTTTCCCGCGTGGGTTTCTGTTTCTCAGGCCAGGCAGGGGTGGGCTTCGACGTGTCGGAGTTCGCTGCTTCTGAGTCTCAGGGGTTCTCTCGGGCAATGTTTTCTCAACCAAACGAAACGGCGTGTTCGCGAGGCCCCGCACTGGAGCACCCCGTGCTGGTGCCGGCGGAGGGTGAAACCTCGTGGCCCAGAAGACCTGCGGGAGGTGGGCGCCCCGTGAGCCCTGGCCAGTCGGCCGGCTGCTGGCGCTGGCCAGGGGGACCTGGGCCCGGAGGCCACGTCCCTGGCCTGTGGGGAGGTGGGCGGTGGCAGGCGGCGCCCAGCCCGGCCCCTCAGGGAACTGCCGCAGGAAGCAATGTGGTTTAATTCTTTCATCCGTGAGTTCACACATTGGTGCCACTGACCACAGAGACGACACCGCCCGAGTCTGCTCTGGCCGGGGCTGCGGAGCCGCGTGCACCGGAGGGGCTGCCTGGCCGTGGCGCTTGGGGATGCCACGTCCCGAGGAGCCAAGGAGCCCCCCCACCCCGTAGCCCCAGCATGTGGCCAGCTGAGGCCAGGAAGGACGCCCTCCGCCTGCAACGTCTTTACAGGCTTGAGGCCAAGATGACTTGTTTGAGGCAAAAAATTCGCAAAATGAGAACTTTGCTGCATCATTGTTACGTGGTGCTTGAATGTCTTTGGAGTTATTCCTCAAACATCACTGGTCTCCCGAGGGAGCCGGGTGGGCCCCTGGCCTGGGGAGGGCCCGGTGGCGGGGGCGTCCTGCGGGCCAGGAGGTGGCGGAGGCCCTGGGGGACCCGGGCCGTCCATCCAGGTGCGGCGAGGAGACGGCCGAGGAAGTCGGGCCTTTCCCTGTTGCTGGGACTAGCTCTCGCCTCGATAGCTCTGTAAAACCACGTGCCGGAAATACATCCTGATGAAAGCCACGGCGGTCGGGCCTGGCTCGCCAGGTGTGGGGTGACCGAGCGTAACCGGCAGAGCCATGCCAGCCTCGCGCACCTGCCTGGCTCTGTCGGGTGAACCTTGGCCCCTTCTCAGCTCAGCCGGGCTCCCTCAGGCGGCTCCCGAGGTCACATAGGACATTCAGGTGCAGGGGCCGCTGGGCCGCTTGAGCCCACTCGGGGTCCCTGGGGCGGCCAGGGGCTCAGGGAGGCTGTCGGTGCTCCAGACCAGGGAGAAGAAAGGGTGTTTGCGCTTAACCACACTCGAACTGCTGGTTTCTAGCAACAATTTTATTGTTACACTTAACGAACTTTCAGAAACCGCCAAGCTGGAGTCGCTGTTGAGATGGCGAGGACAGCCCGAGGCTCTCGGGGACACAGGACAGACACACGGACGCAGAGCGGCAGGGCCCAGGCGGGCGGGTGGACGCGACGGGCTCTCGGCCCGGAGGGGCACGGAGCGAGCCAGGGAGCGGCAGGCTGAGCGGGACGCCTCTCGTTGACGCCCACGGACGTACGAGTAGACGCCACCAGAGCAGGCGGCGGACACGATGGAAGCAGCATTTGTGGTGTGTGTCTGGCAAAAAAAATTCCAGAATATGTAATTTATATAAATAATTTAAAAAGACAAATATCTAATAGAAAACTGGCCAAAGCATGAAGGGGCCCCTGGGAGGGGCACGCCCAGGAGCTGGAGCCCCAGAGCGGCCTGAGGTGGGGAGGCCGGTGTGAGGCCGGCAGCGGCTACAGAGAGCTGGGCAGGACCGTGTCCGCCACAGTGGGTGTGCGGGGCTCCCGGGGCGGCACCGAGCAGGCCCTCGCTCCCAAGTGCCCATCACAGAAGGACGCCCGGGCCTTCACCCGACACACGGATGGCGTGTCCCGGCCGGTGGACAGAGGCCGGCCAGCTTCCCGGGCAGGGCCAGGAGGCAGAGGCCGCCCGCAGCCGCGTTCCCGTCTGCTCTGCGCGGCGCGGCGCACGGCGGCTGCTGGGGGTGCGGTGCGCCCCGCCTGGCCCGGCACTGCTCTGCAGGCTCCCAGGGACAGGAGGAGCCGGCGCTGGAACGTTGCGTGTGTGGACCTGCGTGCTGACGCCACCCACGGCCCGGCCAGGACTCGCTCATAGACTGACCTCACAGCCCAGCGCAGACGCAGCCTCTCGGCGAGAGCTCACGCTCTTCGGTCTTTGTTGCCTCTGGAGAGGCACGTGGCAGCTTCGAGCCGACGGCGGCCCTCGGCAGCCACCGGGAAAGCGAGCTAACACCGTCCTTAGGTGTTGGTTTCACACAGCGTGGGTCAAGCACCAAGGGCCGGCCCAGCCCACACCTGCCCGCCGGGGCAGAGGGAGCCTCGCCCTCCTCATCCGTGTGCGTGTCTCGGCCTCCGCGCCCCGCTGTGCTGATGTCTCCGCGGCCACGGGCTTCGTGCCACCGCAGCTCCGGCTGTGAGCAAGGGGGCGGCCTGCTCCCGGTGGGCTGTGCAGACCCGGCCGCCCGCGGGCAGCCGGGGCCGGGAGGCCTGAGGCTCAAGCCCTGGGCTGACGCGCTCGCGACAGGAGCCTGCCCCTGGCTGACGTGAGGCCCAAGGAGGGTGAGAAGTGTCTGAAGCCTGAGCCGGAGACTGTTTTGCTGTTCTGCCAGGTTTTCTCAGAGCAGGTCGAGGTGAAATGATCCTGATGCCACCAGCTGAGGGTGTCTGGTTTCAAGAGAGCCCCTTAAAGGACACCCGCCTACTTAGGCTTAAATGCGGGCGGGACGGAGGGGGTAGCAGTGGTGGTCCAGGCTCAGGCACAGGGTCGCACGCTGTGTGTGGAGAATGGGGGCAGGGCGAGGTGGCAGGTGTGGGGAGGGCACGCTTGCCCCCAGAGCCACAGCAAGAGGCAGGTGTGCAGGCAGCAAGGCAGGTGCCGCCTTCCCTGCTGCCCGTGCCTGCTCTGTACCCCTCTGCGCATGGTAGGGGCGCGGCAAACGCCAGGGTCCAGGAGAGAAGGCCCTGGCTCGGGCCCGTGGGAGAGGGCTCCCCAGCAAGCGCCACCTCCGAAGCTCAGGCCACGCCAGAAGCCCCCACCTGCCCCTAACTCAGGCCATCGGCAGAAGCGGACCCTGGGGGGAGCCCGGCAGCCCCCCAAGCTGCGTGTCACTGGCCGTGGAGCTCACTGGCCGTGGAGCAACAAGACTCCTCAGACTCTGGCCCCAGATGTGACAAAGGCTCGGCATCGACCCCCAGGCTTGGCCACAGGTAAGGGCAGTGGCAGGGCTGGTCTGACCATCCCCACCTGGCAAGTGGGGGCCAGGGGCCTCCCAGCTTCTGGCCCGGGGTCAGGGCATCCCGCCTCAGGGTGGTGGAGAGACAGGGCGAGCGCTGGGACCTCTGGGGGGAGGGGCCAGAGGGCAGCTCTGAGGGTACGACTGAGCCCCCCTTGAGGGAGGAAACCACCTGCTTTGCCTGCTGATGGGAGGCCCCGGGGCGGGGGCGGGGCTCAGACAGGGCACAGGACCCAGAGCTGACCTGGGGAGCCCGTCAGGTCTAGGCCCGGCCCCTCCCAGGCCCCTGGGGACAGCAAGCACCCCCAGCACCGCCCTCAGCCCACACGGGTCCTCAGCTCTCCATCCACGGCCAGCGGGCCAGCCATGGGGATGAAAGTGCAGGACGCACACAACCGACAGACACAAGCTCCAGCAGCGCCATCTGCCGCTGCTTGGCAGGCTGGGAGGAGGGGGGCTGCGCCCCTATTGCTTTAAAAACTGAGGTGCTCCCCAGAAACCTTTCCTGCGGGAAGGTATGCTGTGAGCCGAGGCCCGCGGCGCCTGTACCAGGCACCAGAGTCGTGCGGAGCCAGAGCCACCCAGCCGCTGCGGGCACGTCCCGGTGGGGCTGCCCACGGGGGAACACGGCCTCTGCCACATCTGGACAGACCTTGTAGCAGATCAACGGTTGACGGAGGCTGTTTCCCTATTTTTTGCGCTGCTGAGAGGCCAGGTGTGGGGAGCTGGGCGCCCGCAGGCTCCAGCCAGAGGCCGGGCTGCCCGGCGCCCCTCAAGGCACAAGTTGCAGACGCTCCGCCTGTGAGCACCGAGGCCCCGCCGAGCCAGCACGTAGGAGGGTCTCCCCACAGAGCGCACTGAGGGCGCAGGACCTGCCCCCAGGCTGGAGGGGAGTCCAGGTCCCTCGCACCCGCACCCCCACCTGGCCCCGCCACTGCACTCGCGGCCCACCAGGCTCCTGCCCTAAGGTCTGGCCGTTTTCTCTGTGGGGAGCCGGGGGCTGGGGGGCCGGGTGCTCCTGGGACTCCACCGCCACCGGGCCGCGCACGGGGCTCAGGACTTCATGGTGCAGATGGGCACGACGATGACCAGGATGACCGTGCAGGCAGCCGCCGCCACCAGGGCCGCCATCTTGCAGACCCTGGCGCGCCGGAACTCGGCCTCCTTGCGCTTGAGCAGCGAGTCGTAGCCGGGCGCGTAGGCGTCCTCCACCCAGTACTCCAGGTTGTTGGGGTTTAAAGATTCCGGCGACTGGAAGCGAAGGGGAGAAGTGAGAAGTGCGGCCCAGGAGCCGGCGGGGCCCCCGGTGGCCGCCCGCGCCCCGCAGACCAGCCCCCCCACGAGGAGATTTACAGCGAGTGGGAGAGCTCCGGGCCTGCTGGCCCCGGGCCGGGGCTCCGGGCTCCCTCATCTAGAGGAGCAGCCGGGACCGGGCCACCTGCTGTCCAGACACAGCTAGGACCCCCAAGGCCAGAGCGCGGCAATTCCAGGCAGGTTCCAGCTCGGGCACAAACAGTCCCACCCTGGAGGTTTTCTTGGGCCGCTTGGCGCTCTCGGTGCACCCAGGACACAGGTCCACCCCCCCCAATCACAGCCTCCCACCCTCCGGTTGGTGGTTCTGGCGCTGACCCCTGTCTGGCCGGCCAGCTCTGCCCCAGGAGAGCCTCCTGGGTGCCCCCAGGGCGGCCCCACCCCGTTGCCGTCCTGGGAGCTCCCTGCAGCTCGCAGGTCTCAGGGGCTGCCTGCAGGGACTCCACTGCCGGCAGGTGGCCACCCGTCACTGAGGGCCAGCACAGGGGCCTCAGGCTGTGGCTGGGCCGCCATGCCCAGCCTCCCTCTGTGTCTGCACCACCCAGAACCCGAGAAGGAGCTCACATCTTCCAAGGACTGAGACACCAGAGAACAACAGTGGCTTGTGACAGGCGAGAGTGACAGGACACGCAACCTCAGTGTCCAGATGATGTGTGGTCAGCACACAGCCGGCCCGTCCGGCAGGCACCTGCTGCCGATCTCCTGGGACAGGCGGGCGAGGCTAGTCACCACGGGGCCCGCACAGGCAATCACCCCGTTCCAGGGGGCCACTCAGCATCCCAGGTCAGGGGGGCCCTTCTCACGGAGGCGGCTCAGGGGCACACCCAGGGACAGTCAGCCGCGTCCAGCTGCCTGGACAGCAAAAGAGGTTGTGTCCCCACAGGCGGGGCCGGCAGTGCGAGGGTCCTGCTACCCCCAAACCTGTGTGGAGCGCCCCCTCCAGCTCTGCTGCCCCTCAGGGCCCAGCACTGGACGGCCACCCTGGCCACCATGCCCTCGTGGCCAGAGACGGGCAGTCGGCTCGGGAGGGAATGAGCAGGGGCTAGTGTGGCCACCTGCCTGCTCAGGCCCTGTGCCGGGGCTTCATGCCTGTGGAGTCCGAGGTGCCTGCACATGAGAAGTGACCGTGGCCCTGGCAGGTGCTGCCTGGAGAGGAGGTTCCAGGCCCTCCCTGCAGCTGGCTCTCCGGCGCACTCTCTGGGCAGAGGCCTGGGCGCCCGTGGCTGTGAGGGAGGGACACCAGCAGGCACGTGGCCCTGCGGGCCCAAGGCCACCGCCCAGTGCCCCCAGCACTCACCCCAGCTTGGCGAGGGAGGAGGCGGCAGCTCCCAGGGTGGGCCAGGGCCGAAGGGGCAGAAGGGAGACTGCATTCAAGCGGAGACTCTGGGCCAGGGAGCAGCCCCACTCACAGTGCCCCCCTGCCCACCCTGGGCAGCTGCAGCCCGGAGTCCAGGGCGGGAGCCGAGGGCGCCAAGGGGAGCTGTGGGGCCCGGCCGGCCACTCACCTGCAGGTCCATGGGGGGCAGCTTGCCCTTGTCGCCGGCGTTCCGGGCGTGCTCTTCAGCAGTCCAGGGGGGCTGGCCTCGCTTCACCTCGGCCAGCTCGGTTAGCCGCATGTCTGTGTACAGGGGGCTACTCTTGAGGTGCGCCTTCAGCGGGGTGGGGTGCGGCTGCGGGCTGAACACCTGCTCCACCAGGAAGCCGTCCCGGGGTGGCCGGGGCGGCCGGAGCTGCCTGCCTACCTGCGGGGGACAGAGCGTCCAGGGGAGCGGGAGCTGACCGCCCCACTGGGCCTGCGCCCAGGGCCCGCCAGGTCCACAAACAAGTGGACAGTCTGCCTGGCGGGGACGGCCTTCTTCAGGGAGAGCTGGGAAGTGGCCCCGGGCAAGTCAGGGCTGAGCAGGCAGCTTCAGGGACAGCGCAGGGGCTCGGGGAGCTGGGGAGGCTCTGAGATACGGCAGGGAGACCCGGGAGGGCCGGCGAGGGCGGTCGGTGTTAAGGCTAAACTGTGGGGCTCATTGGAACAGTAAATGTCAGGGGAGCTTGGACGGGGCGTACAGAGATAAACTCTGAGCTAAGAGCCGGGAAACCGGCCGTCTGCCGCGGGGTGAGGCCACCGGAAGAGCCAGTCACAAAAAGGAAGATGCGATTTTAGAGGAACGGGGGGAAAAGGCTTAAACACCCCGAGACAGGCCACGACGGCTTCCTCGCGCCTCCCGAGCACAGCGCCCCCAGCATCCTGCCTCTTCCTTGAAATAAACTTTTCCTTATTTTCTTAAAGTTCGCGCATCTCTGCTCACTCATCGACAGCGTCTGCCAATTCCTTTCCACGGCTTCGTGGGACAAGAACCTGTGGTGGTTCAAGGGCTAATGGACAGGGCACAGCGGCGGCGTGAGGACGAGACCCCAATTCCGCCCATGCCCCGAGGCCTCTCCGGCCCTCCCCCGGCTGCCCTGGGGCCTCAGGCCCAAAAGGAAACCGCAGCCTCTCACCCCTCGCGGAGGCCGTCCTTACAGCTGCCGGAGAGCAGCGGCCTTGAGCCAGCCCCGCGGTCAGCCGGGAGCTGGCCACGGGAAGGAAGGGGCCCCCAGAGCCAGCACCTCGGGCCGCTGCCTCCTGGCCCGGCCCCCGCGTCCGGGCCTTGCCGCTGCTTCGGCCTGTGCTCCCTGTCCCGACTTACTTGCTCCCCCGGCGCCCAAGGGACCCGCAGCTCCCGACCCGCGAGGCTCGGGTGTGGGCCCGGGGCCCGACAGACCAGCCGCGTCTGGGCAGGCTGGAGAGTCAGCGCCAGGGCCCCGCCCGCACCCCTCAGCAGGAGGCGGCCCGAGGGCGGACCCTGCCGGAGCCCCTGAGGGTGGGGGCAGCACAGACCCCAGGGGAGTCCCCAGCCGGCCCTGCCCCTCCCCGCCCTTCCCTGCCCCTCCCTGCCGCCAAACCAGCCCCCAAGCCGCAGCCAGTCGGGCAGCAGCCAGGCAGGGATGGCCGCCCAGCGCCGTGGAGAGCAGCCCCCGCCTCACCGCCCCGGGACCCCGGAAGGCAGCGCCTGGGGACCCACCGGCTCCCCGAAGTCCCGTGACACAGACCCTGGCCGCTGCCCTCCCCATGGCCCCGTGCAGGGACGGGCCGCGTGTCCTGGGGAAGCGGCTCCGGGGAAGCCCGACTTCCTCCGCCGGGTGTCCTGGTCGTGGAGGGGGGGGCCCCCGGGCTCTGGACCCCAACTGGTTACCAGCCTTCAAGCTCCGGGTGAGGGGGGAAGAGGCAGAAAGACACGGCCCCGGCCCCGCCAGCAGCCAGAGCTGGGTCAGACCTGGCCCTCGGGCCGGCCCTGTGTCCTGCTGCCCTGGCCGCCCTGAGCTCCCAAGATTGGGCCCCAGCGGCTCTGCAGGGAAGAGGCCCCTGCTGAGCTGGGTGCTGGCCCAGAAGGTGCCTGGTGGCACAGGGGTCAGCCTCAGCTCTGTGGAGCTGTCCGCAGCCTCTGCAGCACGAGTTCCATGCCCGGCCAGGGAGCTACCCACAGGGCACAGCAGACCCCTCCTGTCTCCCCGCTGCTCCCCTCAGCATGGATTTCAGTAGATTCACCTGCTCTGCTCCCCACTCTGTCTCTGGTGAATCCTCTCACCCCCCCACCCCTGGCCTGTACCCCAGTTCTTGCATGCATGAATAAATCTTTAAAAAAAAATAAGGGGGGGCCAGTGGGAGGCAGGCACAAAGGCTGCAAAAGCCCCTCCCCAGCGGCACGGCCCCAGCTGCAGGACGGGCACAGCAGGCCCTGCTTCCCCCCAACGCAGGCCCTGGGCCCCACACAGAGGCCTCCCAGAAGCCCTCGGCCAGGCCTCCGCATGCCTCTGCGGGCAGGTGGCGGGCAGCACGGCCCACACCGCTCCACGGGACGTCCCCACAGGGAACAAGGCCCAGTCAGGGCACCCAGCCCCGCACTGACCTGCCGCGGCAGCCTCCAGGGTGTGTGCAATGCGTGTACCCGGGGGCCTGGGTGGGCATGGCGGTGGGGTGGGGGTGGGGCCAGCTGGCGATGGCCAAGGGCTGGATGTGCAGCCGTGGGTGTGTCGCGGGGCCGCAGCAGGTGGTGGACGCAGCCTCGGCAGGGGCAGCGGGGGGGGGGGGGGCGGACGGGGAGGAGGGGAGCCTGGCAGACACGGGGCTGCTGGGGGAGGCACCCGGGGCCGCGGGGTCCTGGCCTCCTGCAGGGTCAAGAGCCTGCGCCCGCAGGGCCTGGGAGGGGGACAGCTGCAGCGGGGAAGGGGGCGCCGCGGGGGCTTGGGCTGGAGGCACCAGGCAAAGGGGGCAGCCCTGCCGGCAGCCGCAGCACTCGGGGCTGAGCTGGTGTGCGAGGCGGGGAGGGCCTCTCCGGGCTGACCCTGTTGAGGGGTGGCAGGAGGAGCCAGCCTGGGGAGCAGCCACATCCTGCGGGCTGTGGTTTGGGGGGACAGCTGCCACAGGGCAGTGGTCAGCCCAGGGGGCAAGACCATACTCCGGGAGGGACACGGGGGCCGGGGCTGGGAGGACGCCCCCGAGGGGCCACCCCGAGCTGGGCTAGGAGGGAGCACTCGTCCTCCCTGAGCCCAGGGCTGCTGCTGAGAGGCAGAGGAGCTCCCAGCAGGAGCTGCAGTCGTGGGCGCTGCGCCAGGCCCCTGAGCTCACTGCCGGCCGTGCTGTGGGCCCCAGGAGCAGGACCCTGCTGGCCGGTGTGCGGGAGACACGGGACACCTGTGTTCAGGCCACGGGGCACCCACCTCGGGCGTGGGACCTGGGCCTCGGGGCAGCACCTCCCACCCCCTGCGGGATGCCTGCCAGGGGCGGGGGGCAGGAGGGCGGCTGCGGCCCCGGACAGCGGCACAGGGAGCCCCAAGTTACCTCCTTGGACTTGCGCGGCCAGTCCTTGCCCTCCCTGGGGGCTCTGCCCTGGGCCTCCTCTCCAGGGCCCTCGCGGCCAGCGTGGGGGGCACTGCGCCAGCCCCGGGGTGGGCGGCAGCTGCCGGCGCCTCTGCATGTGGGGGTGCTGCTGGCCTCGGCCAGGGCCCTGGGGCAGGGGCGGCCGGACAGGCCCCGCTTCAGGGCCTCGCCGTGGAGGCTCCCACTGGCATCCGAGCAGCACCAGTCCCCGCTGCTGTCCGGCGCGGGCCCACGGGCGGCACTGCAAGCCCGGAACCCGCTTGGGGAGACACTTTCGTCCGACGGGGCCTCGCTGGTCAGGGAGTCCAGGTCCGTCTGCACACTGGCCTTCTCGGGCCGCTGCAGCCTCTGGTCCAGACTGCTCAGTCTGCCCAGGACCCGGGACAGCTCATCGCGGACCCCCGAGAGCGACTCCAGCTTCCGCTCCACCTCGCCGACCCTGAGCAGCAGCCTGCACACGCTGGTCCGCAGCTCCTCCTCCGGCCGCCGGCCCTCGCTCCCCCTGCCGCCGGGGGGGCCGCTGCGGGCGCGCGCGGGGCTGCCCTCGGGAGAGCTGTCGCAGTCGGAGCGGGGCAGCTGCGACAAGGACGCGGTGCTGTTGCAGCAGGAGGACGGGCCCGGCCCGGTGGAGCCGCCCACGCTCACCTCGTCCAGGAACCGGAAGATGTCGCTGATGTCCTCGCTGGCCGCCTCCGAGCCGCCGGCCGACCGCCTCCCGCCCGGCCCGGCCTGGCCCAGGGCGCGCGGGTCGCGGCCCTCCTGGGGCTCCGGCGCGCGCTGCTCGGTCTGGGTGCCCACGCTGCTGGTGTCCGAGCCGGCCTGCCCGCCCGCGCCGCCCGCGCTCCTGGCCCTGAGCGTCCGTGCCGGCTCCCGCGCCTGCAGGTCCACGGGCGGCGACAGCGCCCTGGACTTATGCCCATTTGCTTCTGCAACGTAGCCACCTGGGAGGGCGGGCGGCGGCTCCCCAGGGCCCAGGTAAGCGGGGCACCTCTCCGCAGCTGGGGCCCCAGGGGCCTGGCGGCTGGGGCTTGGGAACCGCAGCCTCTCCTCTGAGGGGCTCCTGGCAAGAAAGGACCGTTCAAAGTCAGGGGCTTCTTCAGTGTTGAGGCTCCAGCTCTTGGCCGGCCAGGGGGTCTGCCTGCCTGGCCTCCCCAGGCAGCGCCTGGCCTCCTGGGCCCCAGGGCCGGGCGCGGGCCCAAAGTAGGTGGAGGCCTGCAGGTCGCCCAGGCTCTCGTGCTTCGCCCGCCTCGGATCCGGGGAGCAGGCGGGATGCAGGGCCGCGCCGTGAGGGGGCATCTCAAAGCTGTGGTTGAAGAAGGGGACCTTGTGTGAGTCCTTCCGAGCCCGGGGGTCCCCCCGGGTGGCCTCTGCCTTGCCAGCGGGGCCAGCCCCCCCAGGGGACGCTGGCAGCAGGCCGCGGAAGTCCTCTCTGAAGACGTCCCTCTTCTGGACACAGGGCTGGGCCGGGAAGGGCTCGTGGCCGGGGAGGAGGGCCTCCCTGGGGGCCCGGGCCTGCTCGGGCAAGGGCTCGCTCTCCAGGCGCGTGGGGAAGCAGGTCCGCTGCATCTCACAGGACGGGGGGCCGGCCGCGCTGTAGGGGCCAGCGCCTGCAGCCGGTCCAGCGAGGCTGCGCGGCCCTGGGGCTCCAGCAGGAAGCTGGGCGGGGAGGCGGGCTCGAATCGCGGGCAGTCCTGGCCTCGCGCGGCCGGCTGAGCGGGGCAGCCCCGGCTGAAGGGCCGCTCGCCCAGCCCGCAGCCCGGGGCCTCGCAGCGCCCAGCTGGCCGGCAGGAGGGGCAGGCGGCCTCCCGCTGGGAGCCTCGCTGCCGGCCCGCGGGCGGCCTCTCTGTGGTGGCGCCGCCGCTCATCTGGATCAGGTTGAGCATGGTCACGATGTCAGCCGCCACCATGATCTTCTGGGACTGCTGGTCACCGGCGGCGCCCTTCGCCTTGTCCTTGAAGAGCGAGGCGGGGAAGTGCGGGTCCAGACAGGCCGTGTAGAACAGGGCTCGCCGCAGCCGGCCCAGCTGCGCCAGGTCCAGGCGGGCGCACAGCGTGCGGCACAGGTCCTGGCAGGACGCCGCGTCGGGCTTGCTGTCCAGCTCCTCCAGAATCCTCACCAGGAAGAGGGACGAGTCCCGGCCGGCCTCCATGGCGCAGGACCAAGGCGGCACCCCGGCCGCCTGGACACCTCGTCAGCTCTGGCGGGGGGCAAAAGAAAACAGTGGGTTTCGGGTCAAGCGGGAGGAGAGTGCAGCGCTTCACCTTTACCGGCTGCAGCTGCCTCAGGCCTTGCCACGTGGGCGCCACGACGCTCTCCAGGCAGACCCTGAGGAGTGCCCGGTCTCTGCAGGAGGCGCCGCGGGCACAAGAGGCCAGGGCATCCCTCCCGCCAGACCGCGGGGCTGGAGACCTCACACCCCGGCCGGGAGAGCACGGCTCCACACGCGGCCTGAGTGCTCGTGGCCTCCTGAGAGAGGACACCCAGGGGCAGGCTGTGCGTGGGGGCGCCCAGGAGCCCAGGAGGCACTGGGGCACTGGCTCGCCTGCAGCGGCCCCTCCATGGGACAGCAGGTGCTGGGGCAGACGCCCAGAGGCCGACACCTGCTGGCAGCGGCGCCAGGCTGCCTTTTCTGCTTTTAAAATAAATGCATCGATTTAAAAGGAACACAAAGGGCTTCCCCGGGTGGCGCAGCCGCTGCCCACAGCCTCTGCAGCGCCGGTTCGTTCCCCGGCCCCGGCGAGGGTCCCACAAAAAAAATAAATAAATAAAAATAAAAAATAATAAAAGGAACACAAAATATACAGAGTAGGAAAGCAAGTTCCCACCAGACCTGTCAAATAGGAAGCCAGGAGGAAAGTTTCCTGCGCGAGACTCCAGACCCGCGGGCAGCAGCTGAGACGGGCAGGGCCGCCCCTCTGGGCTGGGCCGAGTGTGTGTGTGTGTGTGTGTGTGTGTGTGTGTGTGTGTGTCGTGGCCAAGCCCGGGAGGGCAGAATGTTGCTCCAACGCGGGCTCCCGGCGCCAGAGAGGGTACAGCTCTCGGGGGAGCCGTGATTTTGTGTGTTTTGTTGGGAAACAAGGACTTTCTCCACTCTCTGCACCTGATTCTGTCACAGTTCGTTCACACCGGGAGTCCACCTGTGCACACGCATGGCCGGCCCCCCTACAGCATGCGGTCGGGGCCCCAGTCACACACTCCTTTCCAGACGTGAGCAGCATGGACGTGGTCCTGTCCGTGTGGAGCACCGCTGTCACCCACAGAGGAGGCAAAGGAGGTCCCTCGCGTCAGCTGGGGGTGCAGCGGCCCCTGGAGCCCCTGGAGCCTCAGGCCTGCCGTCTGCCTTCCAGGCCCCGCCACATCTGCAGGTGTTGGCCCGAGGGTGGGGAGGGGGAGCAGGGCTAAGACCCCGTGGTGTCCAGAGCTGGAAAGCCACGTCGCCTTTGCCTGCAGCCTCGGCCGCGACAAGAGGCGCTACACACGTCACCTCCGCGTGAGCGCACCACGGACAGGGACACCTTTGTCTCTGCGTGTCCCTGCCACGCACACGTCCGCACCTCGCGCCTCGGAAACGCAGAGGTGCTGCGGTCTCCTCTCCCCAGTAACGGACGTTTATTTTCAGTCCCAGGTCTGCAGAAACCTTGCAGACACGCGAGAAAAACAGCTTCTATTTTCCAGACATTTAGGGTTTTCCCTCCAGGCTCCAGGAACTGAGGAAACCTCTACCTGGGCGGCGACCGCTGCCTCTCCTGCTCCTCTCCCTCAGGAAGAAGCTCGCTCTCTCCAGCCCCCCAGCCCCCCGCAGCCCCAGTCTCTTATTTCAGTGGTGCCAAAACAGCTGCTGCCAGCTGGCCTGGAGCCCCCAGAGCGCCCTGCAGCGAGGGCAGGGCCCCGCCATGCGGGGGGGCGCCCAGGAGGGGCGCCTGACCTCTGTGCCTGACCTCTCCTGCAGGCAACTCTCAGCCAGGCCTGAGGTCCAGCCAGGCCTGAGGTCCAGCCGGCCTAGCCCCGAAGCCTCAGCCCAGCCCCGGGGGAGGGTGGTGGCCACCAGCCGAGGCTGGGCTCCCGCCGGCCTCCAACAGGCTGGGTTCCTCCTCCAAGGTCTTCTCCAAATGCCGCTCAATCCCACCCAAGGGATTCCTGAGAGCAGCCGCCAGCCCTCCCGCCACCAGCCTGGCCGGAGCCCGAGCTGACCTTCCAGGCCAGGGCCCCGGGGACAGGCCCCGCCGGCAGCAGCCGCCGGGGCAGCCACGCGGAGGCTGGAGAAGTGGGTGCTCCGAGTGGGGCGGCGGGAGGGCCCCCTGGCTCTGCCTGTGGCGGTGAAGTCCGGGAGCCGCCACCCCTCGCAGCGCCGGCGCCTGAGGGCCTAGCAGGAGCTGGGGCACAGGCTGGCACATCCCGGGTTCGCCCCGCGGCCCCCTAGGGCTCCGGCTCGGGCTCTCGTGCCGGCCCCAGGCGCGCAGAGTGAACCCCCCACGCGCCGCCTCGAGGCCGCAGCTGCGGCGGGGCTGCCCGCGGCCCTTAGCGCATTTCCCGGCCCGCCCCGCCCCGCTCCCCCCGCGAGGGTCCCGGCCGCGCAGCTGCAGCCCGGGGCACCCCCCGCGGCGCGGGCACCCCCCCCCCCACCGCGCCCGCCCCGCGCGCCCCCCGCCCCGCCCCGCGCGCGAAGTTACCTGCGGGGCCGCCGCCGCCCGCTCCCCCGCGCGCCCCGCCGCCCGGGCCGCCCCGAGCCGCGCTCCGGCCCGGCCCCGGCCCCGGCCCCCGGGGCGCGTCGGCCTCACCTGCGCGGCGCGCGCCCGGCCGCGGCCCGGGCACCCCGGCTCCTCGCGCGCGGCGGGCCGCGGGCCCCGGCGGGCATGGCGCGGGCTCAGGGCGGCCCGGCCCGGCCCGACCCGACCCGGGCGGCCCCGGCTCGGCCCTCGCGTCGCGCGGCGCCTCCGCGGCACGGCCTCGGGGGGTCAGCGGCGCGGGCCGGGCGGCGGGCGGCGGGGGGCCTGGCGCGGCCGCTCCATCGCCGCCGCCCGGGGCGCAGGCGGGCAGGGCGCGGGGCGGGCACTGCGCGCACCCGGGCGGGCGGGGCGGGCGGGGCGGGGCGGGGCGGGGCGCGCCGTGGAGGTGCGGGCTGGGGCTGGGGCTGGGGCTGGGGCTGGGGCTGGAGGCTGGGGCTGGGGCTGGAGGCTGGGGCTGGAGGCTGGGCTGGGGCTGGGGCTGGAGGCTGGGGCTGGGGCTGGGGCTGGGGCTGGGGCTGGAGGCTGGGGCTGGGGCTGGGGCTGGGGCTGGGGCTGGAGGCTGGGGCTGGAGGCTGGGGCTGGGGCTGGGGCTGGGGCTGGGGCTGGAGGCTGGGCTGGGCTGGGGCTGGGGCTGGAGGCTGGGCTGGGGCTGGGGCTGGGGCTGGGGCTGGGGCTGGAGGCTGGGGCTGGAGGCTGGGGCTGGGGCTGGAGGCTGGGGCTGGAGGCTGGGCTGGGGCTGGGGCTGGAGGCTGGGGCTGGGGCTGGGGCTGGGGCTGGAGGCTGGGGCTGGGGCTGGGGCTGGGGCTGGGGCTGGAGGCTGGGCTGGGGCTGGAGGCTGGGCTGGGGCTGGGGCTGGGCTGGAGGCTGAGGCTGGGGCTGGAGGCTGGGGCTGGGGCTGGGGCTGGGGCTGGAGGCTGGGGCTGGAGGCTGGGGCTGGGGCTGGAGGCTGGGGCTGGAGGCTGGGCTGGGGCTGGGGCTGGGGCTGGGGCTGGGGCTGGAGGCTGGGGCTGGAGGCTGGGGCTGGGGCTGGGGCTGGGGCTGGGGCTGGAGGCTGGGCTGGGGCTGGAGGCTGGGCTGGGGCTGGGGCTGGGGCTGGAGGCTGAGGCTGGGGCTGGAGGCTGGGGCTGGGGCTGGAGGCTGGGGCTGGAGGCTAGGGTGGGGCTGGAGGCTGGGGCTGAGGCTGGGGCTGGGGCTGGGGCTGGAGGCTGAGGCTGGGGCTGGGGCTGGGGCTGGAGGCTGGGGCTGGGGCTGGAGGCTGGGGCTGGGGCTGGGGCTGGAGGCTGGGGCTGGAGGCTGGGCTGGGGCTGGGGCTGGGGCTGGAGGCTGAGGCTGGGGCTGGAGGCTGGGGCTGGAGGCTGGGGCTGGAGGCTGGGGCTGGGGCTGGAGGCTGGGGCTGGAGGCTGGGGCTAGAGGCTGGGGCTGGAGGCTGGGCTGGGGCTGGAGGCTAGGGTGGGGCTGGAGGCTGGGGCTGGGGCTGGGGCTGGGGCTGGAGGCTGGGGCTGGAGGCTGGGCCTGGGGCTGGAGGCTGGGGCTGGAGGCTGGGCTGGGGCTCGAGGCTGGGCTGGGGCTGGAGGCTGGGGCTAGAGGCTGGGGCTGGAGGCTGGGCTGGGGCTGGAGGCTGGGGCTGGAGGCTGGGCTGGAGGCTGGGCTGGGGCTGGAGGCTGGGGCTAGAGGCTGGGGCTGGAGGCTGGGCTGGAGGCTGGGCTGGAGGCTAGGCTGGGGCTGGAGGCTGAGGCTGGGGCTGGAGGCTGGGCTGGAGGCTGAGGCTGGGGCTGGAGGCTGGGGCTGGAGGCTGGGCTGGGGCTGGAGGCTGGGCTGGAGGCTGGGGCTGGGGCTGGAGGCTGGGCTGGAGGCGGCGGGGGCCGCGCACCGGAGCTCACCAGGCGCCGTGGCTCTGCCGGGTGGCAGCTGGTGCAGGGGCGACCACGGGCAGGGTTGCGCGCTGGAGGAGCCCTGCGGACCGAGCACCCCCCCACGCTGAAGGTGACTGCGGCCCCCGCTGGACAAGCAGAGGGATGGGGTCCGCGCCTCCTCTTCCCGCAGCACATGGGGCTCACCGTCCCGGGCCTCGGCGCCACTGTCCTTCCCCAGGCCAGGCCAGAGCGGTCACCGCGTGCACCGATTTCCCTCTTGACCGGTCTGGGCGTCACTGGCACCCAGATTGGCGAGACCAGCGGTCACGTGACCACCCCTCCCGGAACACTCGCAAATGCCCGCGGGCACAGGCCAGTGGAGGGGCGCGTCTCCAGGAGCAGAGCTGGGCTGAGGGGACCAGGGGCCCCTGTGGCGGTGTGGGGCGCAGCCGTCTCTGTGGCACCGGCCCGGCATCCCTGGGCTCTGCTCACATCCACCACAACGTGGGCACCCTCGGGAGGACCGCAGGACCCGCCACCTTCAGGCACCCGGGGCCACCCCCCAGGGAAGCAAGGCCCCCCTGAGCGGTGGGGAGCTGCCTCCTCACAGGCCTGCCCCCGCCGCCTGCTGCGC